AAAGCTACAGAAGAAGCAGCTAAAATGCCCGTCTTTCACACAAAAACCATCGAGAGCATATTAGATCCTGTTGCCCAGCAGGTAAGCGATTGTTAATGAAATGATCTATGTTAAATCGGGTTTATCCATAAGGAAATATTACCTAACCTTATAACATTGCCTAGCTATAACAAGCCAGCAAATTGGCGCCTAAAAAGGTAAATTTATGAAGAACTGAAAGTATTTTGATGCCAATTTATTAGCATTTGATATTGGAATAGTCTATAAATATGTATATGTATAGATCATAGATCATAGAATCATAGATCATAGATCATAGATCATAGATCATAGATCATAGATCATAGATCATAGATCATAGATCATAGATCATAGATCATAGATCATAGATCCATAAATCATAGATTATAGATCATAGATTATAGATCATAGTTCTCATAGCTGTCAGCTGTCATAGCTCTTTAGTTCATGTTAAGGTATATATAATAGATCTAGACTAGATTTTAGACTAGGAAATTTCAGAGTGTATTGTCATTCATTATGTTTTTAACTAGATTTTCTATTTATATTACTTATATTTGTTTCGATATGTATGGCAACGCCATAAGTAACTGCATAGGCGCATTAAGTTGGCTGCGCCACTGATGCCAAAAGCCGAATTTAATGATCAAATTTTGTGTGTAAAGCGAGTTCACTGCGGAGAATTGATGCATGAAATCTATTAAAGTGATATATACATTCATACATATCCATATGTACATATATACATACATATATATGTACATCTACTCAATTCTATATATTTCTAGTTAGTTAATTTTTGAATTTGCACACCTGAAAAGCGAACGTTTCCAGCAGCTGTGTAGCATGTGTACCTGTGCYAGATATACATATAGATACATATATATATATATGTATATGATCTATAGCTATCTATCTCACATAGGCAAAATCCAAGCGGTCTAAGCAGCAAAAACAAACTTTAAGATGCGTTCGCTTGCTCTGCTTGCTTAACAAATCTTTTGCGGGATCTATAAATAAATGAGGTAGGCAATAATAATAATAATAATAAAAGAAAGGCCACAAGAAGAAGAAGCAGCAGCAGCAGAATAATAAATATATATATACATAGATCTGCTGCTTCCACTGATATCGCAACAACCTGAGCCTCTGAGGACAAACAAAATTAATTTAATAAAACTGAAACAAAGCCAAACAGAACGAGAGAAAGAGACAGATATTGAGAAAGAGAGAGAGAGAGAGAGAGAGAGAGAGCGCGCGAAAACGAAAGATTCCAAAAATAGATAAAACAAATGAAAAACGAAAAAACGAAAAACGAAAGAAAATGAAATCATTGCGCCAAAGAGAAGCTAAAGAAAATCGTACGCTTTGGGCGCAACATGTGGAAGACGTTGATGAAACATAACAAACAACAGCGTTTGAGAAGCGCGTAGAAGGGCAGCGCCGTGCGGAGGGAGGGTCAACGACAGGGTGTAGGTGTAGGTGTATTTGGGTGCTGATACGGCTGACTGAAGATTTCTTAGTTGAGGCACAAAACTGTGCCAAGAACCGAAACTCAAATGGTGACTCATCGCCAGCCAAAGGGGGATGGTTGGATCCCGGGAGGGGCGGGGCAGGTGGCGTGGGGGTGGCGTCTGCGTACGGTGTATGAATGGCTGGCGAAAACCGAATTAAAAATGATCGTTCAGCACATCAATCAACACATTGAGGCACACACACACGCACACACACATTCATACACACACATTCATACACACACATTTAATGAGATCTTTCTTGTTTTTTTTTTCGGATGTTTAAATTTAGATGGCCGGCTAGCAAATTGGTCCACAAATAGAGCACAAAAGGGCGATGCTGCGATGGGGGAGTGCCTTAGGGGGTTTATCAAATTAATTACATAATTAATTCATCAAGCGAAATTGAAATGGAATTGAACAATTGCAGTTAGGGGGAATGGAATGGAATCGGCCGGGAACTGCCTTTTGGCATAGATCGATTGATATTAGCTATGCAGCTTACCCGGAGATTAAACATATGTGATGTTCCCACTCAAAAACAATAGAATATATATGAACTCTATATATATGAATTGGCAATTACTAAACATTTCGAGCTTTTCATGTAGTTAACTTAATTATCCAGATATCTATTTATGAAGTTCTGAGTTTATTTTTTGTTTCAATATGTAAAAATGAAACCAAAGTGTAATAATAATTAAGATATTAAATTT